TGGAAGAGATCGAGATTAGAAACAGATTTTGTTTTTGAGGCGGAGTCTTGCTCTGTTGCCCAGGCTGGAGTGCTGTGGCACAATCTCGCCTCACTGCAACCTCTGCCACCTGGGTTCGAACAGTTCTTCCTGCCTCATCCTTCTGAGTAGCTGGGATTATAGGCGCCTGGCACCAAGCCCCACTAATTTTTGTATTTTTAGTAGAGGCGGGGTTTTGCCATGTTGGCCAGGCTAGTGTCAAACTCCTGACCTCAGGTGATCTGTTCACCTCAGCCTCCCAAAGTGCTGGGATTACAGACGTGAGCCACCATGCCCGGCCTACAAACAGATTATTATTAGACAGTATGATAGCAATTTGAAGGAAAAGGTAGTGCTTGAGCTAGCACTTATTAAGGAAAAGTTCAATAGAAAGAAAAAAGAGAAATGGGCTGGAGAAAATAGCAAGGGCACAAAACTTCTGGTGGGGGGTGGCAGAGTAGACAATGTGCTGGAAGAGAGGAGCTCATCTGAGGTTGGAGTGGTCGTGCGCTGTCTGTTATTCAGTGTTACCTTTCTTGCAGGGAGTCTGGGGCCAGAGCTGGTGACAGCGTGTGAAGTTACAGTACTCTGTACTCTGTTGCTGTGCCCACTGCCACTACCTTTGAACTTTTCTTTTCCCACTGGGAAGGTGGACAGCCTCTTCTATTTCGTGAGATCAAAGCCTGTCCTGAGTACAAGGTGCTTGAAAACTACCATTGACACTTCAACAGCTGCAAAATAACACTGGTTGCAAGGATCCAACAATGTCTCTGCTGTATGGTCCTTTAACTCTTTATTTTTATGCTGAGACCTGGCTTAGAGTGTTCATTCTTGCATAGATCAATGTTGCTTTGTGGTAGCAATTCAGTTTAATAACACGCTCCTCTGCCCAATACCATCTGCAGATGTTAATAAATGTTCTCAAGGAATTTTTAGGATGCTGAAGATGATGATCAAGATCTCAAAATCATTTCATTGATTGAGCACCTACTATGTGTCAGGCATTGGATACATAGGACAAAGAAGGAAGTTGGACATAGTGCATGTCTTCATTGAATTGGTAATCCAGTGGGCGATCAGACAAGTAAATACAGTGTGATAAGAGCTGTGATGGGCGAAGGTGCAGAGTTCTGTGAGAACACATTGAAGAAGCACCTCACCCATACTAGGGGATCAGGGAAAGCTTTCTGGAAAAGGCTGCAGAAACCTGATAGCCTGGTGAAGAGGAGTAGGGAGGAAGTAATCAAGGCAGAGGAAACAAAGTGTTGGAGAGGCTGAACACAAGGGAGAGAATGGCTTGTTAGAGAAACTGGCAGAAGTTACTGGCCTAGAACAGAGAGAGCCTGGAGAGTTTTTACCAAGGGACCCATGGCAAGATGGAAAAGGGATTAAAGGAGGTAAAGACTGTCAGCAGAAAGACCAGTTGTGATAATCATGGTGTAAAAGACAAATAACCAATGTCCTCAGTACACTGACTTTCAAAATTCACTTCTCTCTCAATCCGCCAACCCAGACATCCTGGTCTCCCTAGGACCAAATACAGCTACAGTCACATGTCACTTAATAGGGATACCTTCTGAAAAAATGTGGTGTTAGGCAATTTCATTGTTGCGTGAATACCAGAGTGTACTTACACAAAGCTAGATGATGTGTGTGTGTATATGCATGTATGTATGTATTCATATGGAAAACCAAATTCCCAACATCATTACTGAATATCAGTCCTTCCCCTACTTCAGGAGTCTCCAGTCCCCAGGCTGCAGACTGGTACCTGTCGAGGGCTGTTAGGAACTGGGCTGCACGGCAGTAGGTGAGCGGCGGGAGAGTGAGCATTACTGCCTGAGCTCCACTTTGTGTCAGATCAGCAGCAGCATTAGATTCTCGTAGTAGCGTGAACCCTATTGTGAGCTCCGCATGTGAGGGATCTAGGTTGTGCACACTTTATGAGAATCTAATGCCTGATGATCCAACCAAGATGAAACAATTTCATCCCAAAACCATCTCTCCCCGCGACGCCCGTTTGTGGAAAAATTGCCCTCTACAAAACTTGTCTGTGGTGCCAAAAAGATTGAGGACCGCTGCCCTACTTGATCTATAATGCCAGTGTTTAGTGCTGTGTATCAGGTTTCTATGTACTTCATTATAAAATGGAATCTTGCTCTGTCACCCAGACTGGAGTGCTATGGCGTGATCTTGTCTCACTGCAACCTCCTTCCTCCTCCTGGGTTCAAACAATTCTTCTGCCTCAGCCTCCCAAGTAGCTGGGATTACAAGTGTGCACCACTATGCCTGCTAAATTTTTGTATTTTTAGTAGAGATGGGGTTTCACCATATTGGCCAGGCTGGTCTCAAACTCCTGTCTCAAATGATCCACCCACCTCGGCCTCCCAAAGTGCTGGGATTATAGGCATGAGCCACCATCTTGTATCTTATGGGACCACCATCATATATGCAGTCCATTGTTGACCAAAACACCATTATGCAGTTCATGACTCTATTTAAAAAGTAAAGAAAAATCCTATTTGAAGGAAATATTACATGCAAAAAAAAAATCTATTGTTCCTATTACTCATGCAGATGGCCCTTTAAAGCCATGGTCCCCAAATATGACTGTTATGTTCTTTGCCAGAAATAAACCTGTGCAAGGTGTCCTCTCTAGTCTCTGTACATGAAGTAAGAGTCGTTCTGTATAACCTGCAACTTGATGCTGTGTTTTGTGCGTTTTAGATAGGAACGGAAGAGCTCAAAATGACATGAGGTTGAGCTGTTTCTCATTTAGTTTAGCTTGCCATGATTCCAGTAGCCTTTCTTCCTGCTTATCCAAGCCATTCATGAAAGCAAAACCCACACAAGATACAGGAGCTCAGAATAAAAGGGGTTCGAGTGGGCATGTTATCTCCCACTTCCCCAACTAAGGTACAAATGGTTATTTTTCTTTTTTTCACTTCCTTGGTAATTTTTTTTTTTTTTTTCAAACACTGGATACCAGGCATTTCATACTTAAGCCCTGAAGTCTGGGAATGTGATTTCTAACAATTTTATGTTTGGAGTTCTTAGGCTTATGTTTACCTGCTTACATAAGAGGTATTTCACTTACAAAACTAACTACAGATGTGATCATTGCTGTAGTAGTCATCGTATTTTATTAAGAAATATTATGTACCTGCTCTGTGCAGTACTAGGTATGTGGAAGGTTTTTAGACAAAAATAAATAAATAAGACCTGGTCCCTGCTTTCAGAAACTTAATTTAAAACAGAGCAGAATCAAAGTACTAATGCCTTTTTCGTTGTGTCATCCAAGGAAGACACGAACAATTGGTCACAGCACTGTTTCCTACTGAAACCAGAATCAGCCTCAGAATCCTCCTCAACACAGCATTCCAGACAACCTGTGAATAGATAATTCATCTTCCTGGCCGGGCACGGTAGCTCACGCCTGTAATCCCAGCACTTTGGGAGGCTGAGGTGGGCAGATCACAAGATCAGGAGTTCGAGACCAGCCTGGCCAATATGGTGAAACCCTCTCTCTACTGAAAATACAAAAATTAGCCAGGTGTGGTAGATGCCTGTAGTCCCAGCTACTCGGGAGGCTAAGGCAGGAGAATCGCTTGAACCAAGGAGGCAGAGGTTGCATTGAGCTGAGATCGCACCACTGCACTTTAGCCTGGGCGACATAAATGAATAAAAATAAAACATTAAAAATTCATCTTCCATCCTTAATTTTAAAAAAATAGATGCATTCCCAAAAATCTTGGGTACTTGCCTTGGTTTTTATTGCTTTGTCTTTTGCTAGTTTTTAAAGAAATGACATGATTTATTTCTTTAAAAAAGACAAAGCAATATGAATATGGAAACGCAAGAACCTCCCAAGAAAACAACATATGGTAATATGGTTTTTCAAGAAGTTGAAACTTGAAACATTCAGTTCATGTACATAATTAGAGAAGCCATTCCCAATACTTGCCACTATGAACACGTTTTTCTTGGTTACTTCTAGGATGATTGCCCTCGTACTTTATTATTTGTATAAACTAGTTTCAGTGCTATAAAGCTACCAGCTGATAGTGAATAATAACCACATTTTCAAGTTTCCTGGCACCGGGGCTTCATTCATGGCTGCTCGGGTCACCTGCTTTGGTAGAGATCGTGTGTCTTCCTGGTGCTGACTTATTCAACATCACCATCATTGATTATTTCATGGCCACCTGAGTCTTGAGCTGTCTTCTCAATCCAAATGCTTTCCATAGGACTGCATCAAAGGCCAGAGTTTCAGCTATATATATTGATAAATCCAAGTGTGTATAGTAAGACTCCTCCTAAATGCTAGACCCTTAATTTCAACTGTTTATGGGCACTTCCACCAAAGTGATTGGAGCTAACATAAACATCTAACAAACAGTTGTGGCCAGAGGGTGTGCTAAGAGTGTCACAATCATTAGTTAATTTAACCTTTCCAACAACCCTTAGAAGTTTTCATCCCTGTTATACAGATGGGAAATACAAGGCTTAAGGAATCACATCATTAGTAAGTGTTAGAACTAAGTCTGGAACATAAGACTATCCAGAGTTTAACGGTATTTAATGGTATACACAGACCCTTCAATTTTGGCTTGTACAAAGTAAGAGTCATCCCACTCCTCGACCTCCAAATTTCAGTCTTAACCTTAAATGAGTCCACAACAAATGCCATCCTGCTGTCAGATCCTCCTTCAAGGTCCACTAAGTAACCACTATGGACTTGGTGCAGTCTGTCATTATTTCTTACCTAGAATGCAATTCTTACTCATTCTTTCCCTCTTCCTTGCACTAGGAGAGAAAAGCTATATATTCTCCTTTTAGTTTATTTTTTACTATATTTATATTGGATAAAAAGGTAGGACCTGAATGAGAAAACTGTAGTTTGGAACAGGCATAGGGTTTTTCTCATTTACTCTTTTCACTTGCATCTCTAGAATAATGTATTTTGTCTTCTTGTTTTCTAGGAATGTTTACCCTTGCAGAAGTTGCATCACTTAATGACATTCAGCCAACTTACCGAATCCTGAAACCATGGTGGGATGTGTTTATGGATTACCTGGCTGTTGTTATGTTAATGGTAGCCATCTTTGCAGGAACCATGCAACTTACCAAAGATCAGGTGGTCTGTTTGCCAGTATTGCCATCTCCTGTAAATTCAAAGGCACATACATCACCAGGAAATGCCGAGGTCACCACCAACATCCCGAAGATGGAAGCAGCCACCAACCAAGACCAAGATGGGCGGACAACAAATGACATTTCCTTTGGGACATCTGCTGTGACACCTGACATACCTCTCAGAGCCACATATCCTCGCACAGATTTCGCACTTCCAAGTCAGGAGGCAAAGAAAGAGAAGAAAGATCCAACAGGTCGAAAAACAAACTTGGATTTTCAGCAATATGTATTTATTAATCAGATGTGTTACCATCTGGCCCTTCCGTGGTATTCTAAGTACTTTCCATACCTTGCTCTTATACATACTATTATTCTCATGGTCAGTAGCAACTTTTGGTTCAAATATCCCAAAACATGCTCAAAAGTAGAACATTTTGTTTCAATATTAGGAAAGTGCTTTGAATCCCCTTGGACTACAAAAGCATTGTCTGAGACAGCATGCGAAGACTCAGAGGAAAACAAGCAGAGAATAACAGGTGCCCAGACTCTACCAAAGCATGTGTCTACCAGCAGTGATGAAGGGAGCCCCAGTGCCAGTACACCAATGATCAATAAAACCGGCTTTAAATTTTCAGCTGAGAAACCTGTGATTGAAGTTCCCAGCATGACCATCCTAGATAAAAAGGATGGAGAGCAGGCCAAAGCCCTGTTTGAGAAAGTGAGGAAGTTCCGTGCCCATGTGGAAGATAGTGACTTGATCTATAAACTCTATGTCGTCCAAACAGTTATCAAAACAGCCAAGTTCATTTTTATTCTCTGCTATACAGCGAACTTTGTCAACGCAATCAGCTTTGAACATGTCTGCAAGCCCAAAGTTGAGCATCTGACTGGTTATGAGGTATTTGAGTGCACCCACAATATGGCTTACATGTTGAAAAAGCTTCTCATCAGTTACATATCCATTATTTGTGTTTATGGCTTTATCTGCCTCTACACTCTCTTCTGGTTATTCAGGATACCTTTGAAGGAATATTCTTTCGAAAAAGTCAGAGAAGAGAGCAGTTTTAGTGACATTCCAGATGTCAAAAACGATTTTGCGTTCCTTCTCCACATGGTGGACCAGTATGACCAGCTATATTCCAAGCGTTTTGGTGTGTTCTTGTCAGAAGTTAGTGAAAATAAACTTAGGGAAATTAGTTTGAACCATGAGTGGACATTTGAAAAACTCAGGCAGCACGTTTCACGCAATGCCCAGGACAAGCAGGAGTTGCATCTGTTCATGCTATCGGGGGTGCCCGATGCTGTCTTTGACCTCACAGACCTGGATGTGCTAAAGCTTGAACTAATTCCAGAAGCTAAAATTCCTGCTAAGATTTCTCAAATGACTAACCTCCAAGAGCTCCACCTCTGCCACTGCCCTGCAAAAGTTGAACAGACTGCTTTTAGCTTTCTTCGCGATCACTTGAGATGCCTTCACGTGAAGTTCACCGATGTGGCTGAAATTCCTGCCTGGGTGTATTTGCTCAAAAACCTTCGAGAGTTGTACTTAATAGGCAATTTGAACTCTGAAAACAACAAGATGATAGGACTTGAATCTCTCCGAGAGTTGCGGCACCTTAAGATTCTCCACGTGAAAAGCAATTTGACCAAAGTTCCCTCCAACATTACAGATGTGGCTCCACATCTTACAAAGTTAGTCATTCATAATGACGGCACTAAACTCTTGGTACTGAACAGCCTTAAGAAAATGATGAATGTCGCCGAGCTGGAACTCCAGAACTGTGAACTAGAGAGAATTCCACATGCTATTTTCAGCCTCTCTAATTTGCAGGAACTGGATTTAAAGTCAAATAACATTCGCACAATTGAGGAAATCATCAGTTTCCAGCATTTAAAACGACTGACTTGTTTAAAATTATGGCATAACAAGATTGTTACTATTCCTCCCTCTATTACCCATGTCAAAAACTTGGAGTCACTTTATTTCTCTAACAACAAGCTCGAATCCTTACCAGTGGCAGTATTTAGTTTACAGAAACTCAGATGCTTAGATGTAAGCTACAACAACATTTCAATGATTCCAATAGAAATAGGATTGCTTCAGAACCTGCAGCATTTGCATATCACTGGGAACAAAGTGGACAGTCTGCCAAAACAATTGTTTAAATGCATAAAGTTGAGGACTTTGAATCTGGGACAAAACTGCATCACCTCACTCCCAGAGAAAGTTGGTCAGCTCTCCCAGCTCACTCAGCTGGAGCTGAAGGGGAACTGCTTGGACCGCCTGCCAGCCCAGCTGGGCCAGTGTCGGATGCTCAAGAAAAGCGGGCTTGTTGTGGAAGATCACCTTTTTGACACCCTGCCACTCGAAGTCAAAGAGGCATTGAATCAAGACATAAATATTCCCTTTGCAAATGGGATTTAAACTAAGAGAATACGTGCACAGCGATGTGCAGGAACAACTTCCTAGATTGCAAGTGCTCACGTACAAGTTATTACAAGATAATGCATTTTAGGAGTAGATACATCTTTTAAAATAAAACACAGAGAGGATGCATAGAAGGCTGATAGAAGACATAACTGAATGTTCAACATTTGTAGGGTTTTAAGTCATTCATTTCCAAATCCTTTTTTTTTTTTTTTTTCCTTTTGGGGAAAGGGAAGGAAAAATTATAATCACTAATCTTGGTTATTTTTAAATTGTTTGTAACTTGGATGCTGCCGCTACTGAATGTTTACAAATTGCTTGCCTGCTAAAGTAAATGATTAAATTGACATTTTCTTACTATATCACCTTTTTTGAGGGGTCTTAATTTACTTTGCTTAATTGGTGCAATATTGCTTTAACTCAGATCACTAAAGACAGATACATCAAGTCCAAACTTGTAAATTTAGATTTGCTAAAATACTGATTGATTTCCTGTTTTGATTTAAAGTGCCTCAAGTAAGCACTCCTTACAATAGTTGACTGCTACTGCTGCTCCTGAGCACCTCGTGTCATAGGTTTTATACTCTTACAGACTTGGAATGCAGTAGAGGTATGTGGATTGTTAGGGGTTTTGTTTTTTTAAGAATAAGTAGCAAGAAATAACACATTTCTTAATAGCTTTTTTGACATAGTTTGGAGTTCTGATTATATGGTACATTTTGCTGCCAATAACATAGGGTTGCCAATAAATAGAAAATGTTTTCTAAAAATAAATTTTATTACAACAAAATAAAAATTTTAATGACTTATTAACAAAACCTCCAATATCACCACCATTTGGAAGATAACACAGGATCACAAGTATCATTTAATTTCTTGCCCTTTTCAGTGTTCTTCTGGTGTTGGTGGGAAAATAATAGGAAATGTAGTTCATTGGGTAGGGAAACTCTTAACTGTCCCTATCTTAGTGACAAGCTGTATTTTCTATGTTTGCGTGCAGCTAGGCGGAGTCATAGCCAGACAAATGCTAGGAGAATACACTTTTTAGATAATGATTTCCTTCTTTAACTGACCAGTATCTAATCAATCTCAGAAAAATCAAAAAAATTCCCTGCCAGATGTTTCATAGGCCTCCTACAGGACTCTTTTCAAGAGAATAGAACAGTTTGGCACTCTGACAAAGCAGTGTCCTCTCGCTACAAAACTGGACTCACTTAAACACTGGACTTTTGTCACTTCTAAGCACAACTTGAAGGATTTTGCAGAGAATGGGCAAAGATGGACTCATATCTTTGCTTTCCTCCCCAGAACTGAACTCTAGGAGTGCTGGTCTGTGGCCAATGGAGGTGAATCTTGGCCTGCAGTAGAGCCTGTGAATGCTCTGAGAAGTATTCTCACAAATAGAAAAGGCTGCAGCCCCTGTAGCTGAGTTAGGAATTGATGCTGGCTCTGGCACCCTGGCCATTCCTTCTCCTCCTCAAAGGCTTGAGGTAGGGGGCTAGCTTATTAAACATTTTTTAAGCTTAAGTTTGAATAATCAGACAAAAAGCAATGGCATATTTTCAGTACAGCAAATTCTCTTCTATGCATCTTGCAGTTGTCTCAGCATTCATTAATGTATTCACTAGTATTAATGATGTACCTTGGTGCCATTCTAATACAAGGAACTAGGGATTCAGTGTTGGAATAAGTTCTGGCCACATGGAGGTTTATCTAGTAAAGTAGAGAGATAAATATTAATTATGTAAATAATAGAAGTGTTTAATTACAATTATAGAAGGTGTAGGTCAGGTGCAGTGACTCACACCTATAATCCTAGCACTTTGAGAGGCTGAGGCAGGAGGATGGCTTGAGCCCGGGAGTTTGAGACCAGCCTGGGCAACATAGCAATACCCCATCTCTACAAAAAAGTTTAAAAATTAGCTGGGCATGGTAGCATGCACTTGTAGTCCCAGCTACTTGGGAGGCTGAGGTGAAAGGATCACCTGGGCCCAGGAGTTCGAGGCTGCAGTGAGTTATGATCGTGCCATTGTACTCCAGCCTGGTGATAGAGCAAGACCTTGCCTCAACCAAACCAAAAAAAGTGTACAAAATCTTTGTAAATGAATAATGGCGGGGGTGGAGTGAACTTAAGGAAGAGCTTTAGGGAAGTTTTGTACTTGTAAATGGTCCTGAACATTTCCCTTCCACCAGCCATGTGGGGCGCTGTTCTCCCTGCTTGGTAATGCCACCGCCTGAAATTAGCACAGTATTTTTAGAAGGATGCCACTCCATCTTAGTTGTGAGATAAGGAGTCCAGATCTTAGGATCTTTGCTTTTAGGACTGGAAAACTTGTCTTCCCTTTCTTAAAACAAAACAAAACACCTTATTGAAGTATAACTGGTATATAAAAGGCCCTACATATGTAAGGCCTTTACATATATACCTTAAATATGGTAGCAAACTGCATATCAATGAGCTGCCTTTCTTAAAACAAGTGTATGTTGTTTTTGAAGGGCAATGGTAGCAGGACGCCACAGTTCACTTTGCTTTTCAGAGAAGAGCCATTCTGTAGGAACCACAATCTATGAGATAATCCCTAAATTTGGCCACTGGCAGCTCTGCCCATAGGCTCCTGTTTCCTAAACACTACTTGGGGTTCAGTCACTTAGAACTGGTTGGTGTTAGATGCCTTCAAACAGTATCAAGGGGTACCTCTTCTCTTACCCAAATTGCTGTTGACTATCAGCCCTTACTGATTTCCTTGAACTCTGAAAAGTTTAGGGTCAGTTGATTTAAATGCCACATTCCATGCCACTGTTTGCAAATAAGAATACTCTAAAAGAGAGTTCCTGAGAAATGCTGACTCATTTAACAGACTTTAAATATACTGAGTTTTGATGCCTCAACAACAGAAAAAGAGTTGTGGGCCCAAATAGACTGTCAACCTATGTGTCCTCTTGAATTTATGTTGGCGTCGCTTGGACCAGACATGGGAGAAAAACAAGTTAGTATGTATAAGATTTGGCTTAATATTTTCGTATCTTTCCATGAAGTCCCTTGAGCAATCTGAAAAAGAGTATTTAAAGTCTGTTTTTAAATATGCCATATCTGGGTGAGTCTCACAAAGTCTGAAAGAACTTGGTTTACTTGTGGCTGTTTAATTTTTTCTCACTAGCAGTCAGTTGGCTTGACAAAGAGGATTGACTTTTTTAAGGGTTCAGAAAGATGAGCCGAAATTGTCACAGGGACCTCATTCTTAGTAGTACAGATTTAGTAATTTAATAGTAGGCAGGAAGAGTTCATTCTATAATTCATGGCTGGCAAAGTCCTGACTGTTTGACGTTTTTTTAATATAAAGAAAGAAGTCATATTCTTTCTTAATATCTGTAATACTTTCTCTGTCTCTCCTGGTCTCTACTTCAACCAGTAACCAAACTCTCTAAGTTGCTGATGGCAGCAAACTCCAAAGTGCCCTTGAGGCCAACGCCCAATAGTTATTTCCATTCACCTTGTTGAATAAAAGCCAGAGTACTGTCCTCTTGCTAAGATTTCTGGCAGCACTTGCGTCAGTAATTCATTCCAATAAAATGGTCCCTTTATCAACTGAATCCCCAAACAAAGGCTGTACTAACAAAAAGCTCCTTTCATGAAAAAAAGAAGGGGGGAAAAAAGAGCAAGCCCCTGGAAACCAGTTTTCAAAAGTCCTCTAACTTGTGACTGCAACACGAAGAAGTGGCCCCGTCTGATCCTGGCCAGCTGCAGCTCTCTTAAAGCAAGGGCTCCGGGTATTCAAGCTGGTATCCGCTGGGGCACAGGGAAGGCTGAAGCCAAGGGGGCAGAAGAGCAGCAGGCCAGGAACCATCTGCCTCTCAAGCCTGGCCTAGCCTAGCCTGGGGTGATGGTCACAGCTGAAATCATGGAAATAAGTCCCTTCACTCACAAAGCCAATAGCAGATGTCCATTCTTCATCCTTGTGTCTCTGGACATAAAACGTATAAACTGTTCCAGGTAAGCATCGCCTTTCTTGTGGAAATTCACGGGATTATTTGCTGAGAGTTAATCCTGAAAAGTTTCATTCCACAGTCTCATCCACCCCCCTCCCACTGCTGTGGGACCCCTGATGGTAGAAAGTTTCCCAGCCCCACCTGCTGTCACTGTCAGCTGTCCTTCCTTCACTCCTAAGATTCCAGGCTCTGGAGTGAGAGTGCCTGGGTTTGAATCCTGCCTTGGCCCCAGCTGTGTGACTGTGCGGAAGCTACTTACCTAAGCCTCAGTTTTTTTACTGTAAATGGGAATAGTCATAGTACCTGCCAAATGGGTTTTATTGTGTGTGACAATTGAATGAGGTGATTCATTTGAGGCACTGTGCCTGGCAGATAGTAAGTACTCAATAATACTGTTATTTTATCCCCAGAGACTGTTGGCCTTCCCTAATATGCATTCTCTCCTTCCTTGGTAATGGAATTTTCAGTGGACACCTGGAACACAATAAAATGTGTATTTTTAAAAGCCAGGCAGTGGTCCTTGCCTGTAGTCCCAGGAACTGTGAAGACTGAAGCAGGAAGATCACTTGGGTCCAGGTGTTCCAGTCCAGCTTGGGCAACACAGCAAGACCCTGATTCTTTTTAGAAAACAAAACAGGCCAGGCATGGTAGCTCACACCTGTAATCCCAGCACTTCGCGGGGCCAAGGCGGGTGGATCGCTTGAGGCCAGGAATCCCAGACCAGCCTAGCCAACATGGCAAAACCCTGTCTCTACCAAAAATAACAAAAATTAGCTGGCGCAGTGGTGCATGCCTGTAGTCCCAGCTACTCAGGAGGCTGAGGCAGGAGGATCGCTTGAGCCCAGGAGGTAGAGGTTTCAGTGAGCGGAGATCGGGCCACTGCACTGCAGCCTGGGTGACAGAGCAAGACCTTGTCTCAAAAAAACAAAATGAAAACTATTTTCCAGGCTTCCTTGGGGCTAGATGTGCCATGGGGCTAGGATTTAGTTAAATTCTAGCCAAAGGAGTGGGAATGGAAGTGGAATGTGGGATTTCTGGATTAGGACCTTAGAGGAAGGTCATATCCTTCCCCGTTGCTGCTGCTTAAATTGCACATACAGAAATAAGCCCAATTTAGACTGTGCAGATGAGGGCAACAAATCAGATGTGGCACAGCAGCACAATAAAAGTCTGGGCCCCTGGCAACTTCAAGAAACAAGGTCATATAAAGGAGAAATAAATCTGTGTCCTGTTTAAGCCACAATTCGGGGACTCTGATACATGCAACAAATCCTAAAAACCTTGCTACTCAAACCCGTGGCTGGATAGCCATAGCAGCACTGGGGGCTTGTTAGAAATGCAGAATCTCAGTTTCCTCCCCAGACACTGATTGAAC